TCAAAAGGTTATAGAGTATATAACACATAAACACGAATTGTGGAAGAATCTATCAATGTCATATTTGATGATAAGCTTGGCTCTCAAAAGTCAAAGAAGGGAAAAACTTTTGCAGATATAGAAGTTCAACTTACAGGTACTGAAGACAGGTCGTCAGATATTATTAATAAGGAATCTCATCCAAATACAAAAGAAGATGTCACAAACATCACAACAACTTCTGAAGACCCCATCCAGAAAACTCAATCCAGAAGCAGCTTAGCTCATTCAGAGGACATGATTCTGGAAAAGAAAGATGACCCAATTAGAACAAGATTTACATTCATAAATTCTAAGATATCATTCACGGGATTAGCATCTCTGATCGAGCCAACCTCCATTGACGAAGCTCTTCTAGACAATGGCTGGATACTTGCAATGCAGGAAGAACTAAATCAATTCACTAGAAATTATGTGTTGGGTCTGGTTCCTAAACCAAAAGGATTCAACATCATTGGAACCAAATGGGTCTTCAGAAACAAGATAAACGAACAAGGAAAAGTATTCAGAAACAAAGCACGACAGGGGGCACAAGGTTATAGTCGGTAATAAGGGATAGACTATACAGAAACCTTTGCTTCAATCGTCAGGTTAGAATCTATCAGACTTTTAATTTCTTTTATTGTAAATAATGGCATCACTCTTTATCAGATGGATGTTAAAAGTGCTTTTTTAAATGGTTTTATTGATGAAGAAGTTTATGTGAACCAACCCCCTGGCTTTGAAAATACAAAACATCCATAATATGTTTATAAACTTAAGAAATCATTATACGGTTTGAAACAAGCTCCCAGAGCTTGGTATGAAAGACTAAGTAATTTTCTGTTAGAAAATGATTTTACTAGAGGTAAGGTGGACACAACCATATTCTGTAGACTGTTTAAAAAGGACATTATGCTTTGTCGAGTTTACATAGATGATATAATTTTTGGATCTACTAAAGCCTCCTTGGGAAAATAATTTGTTAATCATATGCAGGTATAATTTGAAATGAGCTTGATGGGTGAACTCAAGTTCTTTTTGGATATCCAAATAAATCAAACTCCAGAAGGAACCTACATTCATCAAAGAAAGTATGTCAAAGAATTTCTGAAGAATTTTGATTTGTCAGAATGTAAGCCATCCAAAACTCCTATGCATCCTACATACATTCTGGAAAGAGAATAGGTAAGTAAGAAGGTAGAACAGAAGCTCTACAGAAGTATGATTGGTTCTCTCTTATATTTAACTGCTTCAAGACCTGATATTCTGTAAAGCGTCTATCTTTGTGCTAGATTCCAATCAGATCCTAGAGAATCTCACTTAACAGCAGTTAAGTGAATTTTCAAGTATCTGAAAGGTACTACTAATCTTGGTCTTTGTTATAGAAAATCCAGAGAATATAAATTAGTATGGTACTATGACGCTGACTTTGCCGGAGACAGAATAAAAAGAAAAAGTACTTCTAGAAGTTGCCGGTTTCTGGGAGACAATCTAATCTCGTAACCCAGCAAAAGACAATCCACTATTGCACTTTCAACTGTTGAAGCTGAATATATAACCGCAATTGGATACAATACACAGATGATCTGGATGAAGAACCAGCTTGAAGACTTTAACATATACGAGAGTAACATTCATATCCTCTGCAATAATACTTATGTTATTTGTCTTTTAAAAAAATCCCATTTTACATCCTACGGCTAAACATATAGAAATTAAACATCATTTTATTATGGACTATGTTCAGAAGGGAATTCTTTCTTTAAAATTTATAGACACAAACCACCAATGGGTTGACATCTTAACTAAACCCCTTCCTAAAGATAAATTTAATTTCATTCTAAATCATCTCAGTATGGAATTATGTCCATAATGAAAATGTAGCTTCTATATATTTAACTCTCAGAACTTTATGCTTTGATTTTTTTTGAACATCTGAGCAATAGTTCTTCAGAAGTGAGAAGGAAAGTTGTATCAGGAGCTATCCAGAAAATCTGAACGTTCTCCAAAAATGTTTCATTTCTAAGATAGAAGCAAGCAGTTCACAATATCAACATATGTAAACTTTATATTCAAAGTCACCCTCTAAGGCTGAACACGTGTTCAAAATCTGAAGGGACTGAAACGGTTGACTTGATGCATTGAGGTGCGAGTCAAATCAGTAACTGTTCCATATCTTCACGATATCCCTCTTTTCAAGAATCATTAAATGCACATAATCACTCTCTTTAACCCTTTTAAATTAAAATCAAAACTCCTATTTTTTATTCCGTTGGCTATTGATACTTCACCCCTTCACAAACACTATCACATATTCACTCTTACCCACTTTTCTCTCCTCATTTGTTCATCTTTCAAAACCCTAAAAGAGTTTGTGGACAAAAATGGCTTCCTCTCAACAAATTCCTCAATTTTCTCAAATCATTTCAAGTTCTTCCTCTCAAAAAATTCCTCAATTTTCTCAAATCATTTCAAGTTCTTCCCTTTCAAATGAAGAAAGGTACGTTGAACCATCAAGAAAGTTTCTCACACCCATTGATTATCTGGAAGTTCTATGTGAGCTTATTGTTGATTTCGTAATCATGAAAGTAAATGGGTATGACTTAACCCCTGATGTTGAGTTCCAAGGATGGGGGAAATACTTTGATCGTCTCATAGGTCCAGTTTTTCCAAAATTAGTGAAAAAAATTTGGATCCATGCCATAACTTCTAATCATCGGGTAACATCTTATGTTATGGGAAAGAAGATCATCATCACTGAAGATCTTATTGGGAAGCTTATTGGTCATTACAGAAACGGAATAAGATGCAATGATATGGCAGAAAAAGGTCCTGACCTAACCACTGTCTCAAAATAAATTTTCTCCTCTGGACAATCATCCAACAAAATCAAAGATTTGAAGGATTACCTCAGAATTTGGTCCAAAATATTTCTAGGGCAGAAAACCAACCAGCTCTCTAGACTACATCAACATTGATCAATAGTACCTCCTATACTTCATCACCACCAAAGCAAAAGTTCATCTTCCACATATTTTGTTCAATCATCTGAAAACTAGCGTCAAAGAAACAAGAGAAGAAGAAAGAACAAAGAGAGATTGGATTCCTCTGGGAAGACTCATTTCTGATATTCTGACAAAACAGACTGGTAGAACATCTGTTTGAGGCTCAACAAGAAAATGTTATGGAAGCCTGTGTTGGAAAGCCTCTAAACATCAAGAATTTGAAGAAGATGAATATTATTGAAACTATTAAGAAGGATCCAACAATCACCACCAAGGAAGTCATCACAACCCGAAGAGTGCCTCTGAAGGAGTTTCCTCTCTTCACTCAAGCAGACTCATCTCCAAAAGTTATTCTCAGGTATCAGGAAGCCTGCAAGAGTGATGGTATGATTCTAGATGTGAATATTCTTGATCTATGGAAACAACCTCTGGAAGTTGCTCCCAGAAAATTAAGAAAAAGGAAAGTTGTTGGAGAAGGAACTTCTCAGAAAACCCCCAAAGCTACCAAGAAGAAAGGTAACTCGTCTTTTGTTTCTGTTATTGAATCAATATTTTTATCAACATCTGAAAATCCCTCTTCTCCAAAACCCGTTGAAAATTCCTCTCTGGATTTCGCAGAGTCTTCATGGTCCCAGAAAGATCGCGTCTTTGTCCTCCCTGTCTTGCGGAGGTCATCATCTAGGTAGGGGGCACGTGCAGGTCCCCACTACTCATGTAGAACCTGGCAATCTCTTTGTTGGGCCTGTTTGATTAGCCCAATAAAGAGACCTTGGCCCAGCGCTGGGGGCTATAAATACCCCCTCTTTCGAGAGGAACGGGTATTCATTCATTCACACCTACATTCATACTTGCTTGTTCATTCCGTCTCTCACTTTGCCATCGGAGTGCCTTGCAGGTACCCTCCCCCATCTCCTTCAAATCCAGTCCAAAGCCAACTGTGACGGTTCAACTCTGATCATGCCAGATCAGTATTTGTATATATAATTTCAGGATTCTTTTTAAACCATCATAGATGGAGAGAAGAGCAAATAAAAATGGAAAAAGATGATATGAGTGCTTGACTGTGACTATTGGAAATATCCACAAAGTTTGTTTTAAAGTTATAAAAAATATTCTAAAGGATATAGTCACTGGAAATACAATATTCTCATATTTAATTCAAGTTAAAAAAAATTATTTTAAAGTACATTTTATTTTTAAGAATTTTATTTATATATGATTTTTTTTTCTTAATTAAAGGGTGAAAATCCAACATTTTGATAGGAATTAATCCAACTACCACTAACTTCCCACTTCTACTCATAAATTATTATTATTTTTTATTTTTTATAATTTTTAAATTAAATAATTTTAAACATTCTTAATAGAATTTATTTTTATCCAAACATATAAATTAAAATATTATTTTAAGAAATATAAATCTAAAAAATATAATTAATATAACTTGATAACTTGAAATAAACAGACACCCTAAGTAGTGCGTAGGAAAAGTGAGGTTATAAGGTTGAATATTTTTTTTTTACGAAGTTATAAGGTTGAATTAAAGTCTTGAATTTGGTTGATGTGGCAAATACGTACCAAATTTAGAAAACCACAACACGTAGGAAACTATGTTATGTTGCATTTGCATCACCTTAATATTGTTTCCAAACCGAATCTGGTTTTCTGTTACGCGTTTTGCACTTGTTCCATAATCAAAACACAAACATCCTCAGCAATATTCTAAGGTATAACGCATATCTCGATCTAAATAAACATATTCAGTTTTTACCAATTCTCATCAACAAAAACAATAACAACTCTTGCTTGTTATTCCCACTTACAACAACACCTCTCTTCTGGTTTTTAGTTTCATACATTATAACTTCTAATTACCCTTTTTATTATTCATTGTTACATGTCTCCATCTTCATAAAATGTTACCTTATTCAATAATTTTAACCTAACGTGGAAGAAGAGAATAAAGAGGTTATTATGAAACATTCATATAATTTCTTTTCCCTCTTTATTCTCCTTCTTCTTCATCTCTTCTTTATTCCATCAACATGTGTTAATTCCATTAATGATTCTGATTTTGGTTCTTCTTTTACACCTTCTGTTAATTATCTTATTGATTGTGGCTCCTCCCTTAAAACTCAACTACGAGACGGTAGAATCTTTAAATCTGATCCTGACACCACTTCTTTTCTTTCAACAACAGAAGATATTCAAATTTCAGTTGATTCTATTAACCTAGCAAATCTCTCTTATTCACCTGCACTACCTTTATATGAAACTGCTAGGGTTTTCACAGAAGATACTACATACAGTTTTTACATCCCCAAACCTGGTAGACTTTGGATTCGTCTTTACTTTTTTCCTCTTCCTAACCCTTCATACAATCTATCTAGTTTTGTTTTCTCGGTTCATACCGATCGCTTTGTGCTCTTGCATGAATTCTCTCAAAGTAATAATGATTCACTAGTTTTCAAGGAATATCTTCTCAATGTGTCTGATCATAGATTTTCTCTCAAGTTCAAGCCGAGGAAAAGTTCGTCTGCGTTTATCAATGCAATTGAAATTGTTTCAGCTCCTGATATACTTTTATCAGATTCAGCTATTCAAGTTTCTCCGCCGCTTGGGAAATTCAATGGTTTGATGAACTCAGCTTTGCAAGTTTCTTATAGAATAAATGTTGGTGGCCCGACAATAACTCCTGGAAATGACACCTTGTCAAGAACTTGGGAGTCTGATGATCCATACAATATTTTTCCACAAGGCTCTAAGAGTGTTTCTGTCTCTAACAAGAGAATAATATATCCACAAACAAGTGATTTTATTGTCACACCCTTGATTGCTCCGAGTCCGATTTATGCAACTTGTGTAGAAATGGAGGATCCTCAAGTTATGCAGCCAAATTTCAATCTTAGTTGGATGGTGAATGTGGAAAAAAAATACTCTTATTTGATAAGAATGCATTTTTGCGACATTGTTAGTAGAAGGCTTGATCAGTTGTATTTCAATGTGTACATCAATGGGATTGAGAGTGTGTCAGCTTTGGACCTTTCATACGAAACCAAAGCTCTAGCAACAGCTTATTACATGGACTTTATGATTGGTTCATCTAATATCACAAACGGTTCTATCCTGATTCAGGTAGGACCGACGAATCATAAACAAGACATATCCAATGCAATTTTGAATGGAATTGAGGTGATGAAAATGAGCAATAGTGCTGATAGTTTGGATGGTTTTTTCTCTGTTGATGGAGAATACAAAGGACCGAATTTAAGAACAAAGCTAATGAAACTTGTTGCTATTATTGGATTTTCTTTGGCTGTGATATCATTGTTGTTACTAGGAGTGATGTATGTTAGGTGGTTAAGGAGACCTTTATGCCGGGAAGAAAGTAGAAATTTCTTTTCATGGCTCTTACCTCTTCATTCAAAATGTAACATCAGTTGCAGCATATATTCAAACAAATATGATTCACCTAAGAGCAAGCATGCTGGTGGTCATTCTATTCATCACTCTCCAAGAAGAGGGTCCAAAAGGTTCTTTCATTTCATCGAATTGCAACGAGCCACGGGCAATTTCGATGAAAAGAAAGTTCTTGGTGTTGGAGGCTTTGGTAAAGTGTACCTCGGAACGTTGGACGATGGAAGACGTGTTGCTATAAAAAGAGGAAGTGGTAGTTCAGGACAAGGGATGAATGAGTTTATAACAGAACTTAACATGCTTTCAAAACTGCGCCATCGCCACTTAGTTTCACTAGTAGGTTTCTGTGATGAAAACTCAGAGATGGTTCTTGTATATGATTATGTCTCTAATGGCCCTTTTCGTTCGCACCTTTATGGCTCCAACTTTTCTCCTTTGTCATGGGAAAAGAGGCTTGAGATTTGCATCGGTGCTGCTCGCGGTTTGCATTATCTCCATACAGGTATAGTTGCAGTCTTGCAGATTACATTTCATATTGATTGATTGAAAACAAATACATGAAAAAACTCTAATGAACTTTTATATTTCTAATCCAGGTGCATCTCAAAGTATCATACATCGTGACGTGAAGACAACGAATATCCTCTTGGATGAGAATTATGTAGCCAAGGTTGCTGATTTTGGTTTGTCTAAAACAATCCATGACAAAGCTCAAATAAGCACCGCGGTTAAGGGTAGTTTTGGATATCTTGATCCCCAGTATTTCAAAAGCCAACAACTGACTCAAAAATCAGATGTATATTCATTTGGCGTAGTACTCTTTGAGGTATTGTGCGCTAGACCAGTTATTTGTTCAACATTGCCAATGGAACAAGCTAATTTGGCTGATTGGGTAATGAAACAACATAAATTCGGTATGCTTCATAAGGCGATTGATCCGCGCATTGCTAATAATATAAATCCCGAATCATACAAGGTTTTTGTACAACTTGGTGTGAAATGTTTATCGGAACTTAGCGTCGATAGGCCTAGTATGGGTGATGTATTGTGGAATTTGGAACATGCTTATCAACTACAGATAGCTTCACCACATGATGGTAATTCACTCTCAAATGCTTTTCAAAATGAAAATGAAAGTGACATAAACAATGATAACTCACATGGTGTCGCAAGTGTTGTGCCTGATAGAATAGGTTCTGATTCTCTTGTGTTTTCTCAGATGGACAATTTTCAAGGAAGGTGAAATTAGTAATAGTTTTGAAAGTAACTTGTTTCCCAAGCAAGGACTTGGATTTTTTGTACTATAGTCCTTAATTGTAAAAACATTGGGGTAACCAAATGTGGCTTGGAGCAACCTCTAGGATATATATATATATAGTGTTGCATGCAAGTCCAAATTGGGATAATTTTAGTTTTATTTTATGTATATAAGAAATTCTTTTTGATTTTTTGGTCATATTGTATGAGAGAGAGGAAAAAATCAAAAAGGGTATGGAAAATTATGTACGTTAAGAGCATACTTTATTCTAGTTACATGTTAGGCTCTCATTGAATGTCATATATTGTATTAATCTCTTAAATACAAATGTATTGTGTATTTAAATTTGAGTTTGTTTATTTTGTTTCCAAGTTTATATACAGTCTCACCTATTATAAATTCTAAAACGGTAGAAATGGGGTATTGGAATGACAATTCTTGGGTGTGGGATATTGAAGTGGATGAAAACAATCATTCTGTAGAAGAAGGCAAACCAAACAAATATGGAGGAAGGTGTCGAAGAAACTGTGATTCATCTCTTCCTACGTTGCTCGCTTGTTGCTCAAGTATGGAGGAAGGTGTATAGGTGGATTGTCATTCCAGTGGTGGTAGAAACAGAGTCGGTAGTAAGCAATTTCAAGCAGTTTTTCTTAATGCTTAAAGATAGAATAAAAAAAGGTAACAAGATATACAAGGGGAACCAAACCAAGACTAGTTAAGATTAAAGTCTAAGCCTAGAGGTACCATCCTTGTTTAAAAAGTAATCCTTAACAATATCTATATGGACATGATTGAACCAAGCGAAATTCTTAGTAGTTACACAAAAGTTAGTCAGAAAATCAACACAAAAATGGACTTTACGATAAATATGAGTGATCATGAAATCAATGGTAAGAGTGTAAGACCAACAACTAAGTCAACGAGACTTTGATTTTCCAAGGGACAAGATTAGAGTTCGAGAAGGCTTTCACCACAAGCAAACTATATGTTTCAATCAAAAGTTTCTTCCAATTAAACTCTCTAGCTTTCTCAATAGCAAAAATAGCAGCCAATAATTCTTCCGATTCAGAATTACCCGCACCAAGGTAAGCACAAAAACTACTAACATGACAAGCCTTGTCATCTCTGAAAAATGTCACCGCAAGCAGTCAATATGGGAGAACCTCTAGCAAGGCCATCAATGTTGCCTTTAATCCACCCAGGAGGAGCAGGAGACCACAAAACCTCTAAAGATCTCAAAGACTTTCTGGGATGAATGTTAATGTCAAAACCATTTAAAAAAAAAGATGAAGTTAGAAATAGAAGAATTTGAGCATCTAGAAGTGACATTACCAACCAACTTAGCATGAGTCGTAATAATAGTAATGCAAACTTTCCAATGAGTTTTGATGTCCTCAAATCTAGCAAGATTCCTAGCACGCCAAATCTGATGAAACAAGCTAGTAACACAAGAAATAATGATATATTTAGCTTGAGGGGACCAGTTGGCCTCCAAAACCGTGTTCTAGTCAGACATGTTATAAATAGGAATTTGAACATGGAGCTTATCAATCATCCAGTTCAAGAGGTTCCTAGCAAAAGGACAATAAAAAATATGTGATGTAATGTCTCTTGGTTTGTTTTACAAAGGTAACACATAGAAGGAAAGGAAAAACCTCTTAAAAAAGATTATCATCTAGGGGTATTTTGTTGTGAATGAACCTCTAAACAAGCATAAAATGCGAGGGATGAATGTTTCTATCCCAAAGAAACGAGGACCAAGTTGTAGTGGGGTGAGGTTTCTGAATGAAATCATATGTCTGCTTCAGACTCAGTAAATCATTCTCATTATCTTTCCAGATTAACACATCTTCAACATCCAACTCAAGAATGTGCATAGTAGAGATGAAAGGCAGAAAATTCAGGATAGAAACTTGAGTGTTATCTGGAATAACCCAAGACTTATTACCAGCCAATCACTAACCTTAGTAGTAAGAGAATTATGGAAGATTTCTGGAATTTTGAACTTGAAGGCTAGAGGTTCTCCATCCCAATTATCAGGCCAAAAATTGATTTGATGGCCATTACCAATTAACCAAAGGATATTCTCCATGACAATGTTAAAGCTTTCTTTAATACTACTCCTAATAGAAGACTTGCTGGAATAAGTGATGACTCTACAGTTTCTTTTAACTCTAGCAGCAAGGAGAGAAGACCAACTTTTATTAGCTTTGATTAAATTCCAACACAAATGAAGATTGGTAGCAGCATTGAAAGTCTTCAGAGATTTCAAACCAAGGCCACCTTTTTTCATGCCTTTGCAACAAGTCTTTCAAGCAATAGTGATAAGCTTCTTTTTATCCAAACTACAACTCCAAAATAAAGTTTCTCATCCAAGTTTCAATTTTCTTTATGACATGAGCTGGCCAATTATATATAGATATGCAGTGCACCATCATGCTTTGAATGACAACCTTTACCAATTGAACCCTTCCAACCATAGACATAAGACTAGCCTTCCAAGCTGCAAGCCTAATCTATATTTTATCTGCAATAAAAAGAAAATGGAAAGCTTTAGGTTGATCAATGAAAATAGGAGCTCCCAGATAAAGGAAAAGAGGGGAAGCCATGGTGAAACCAATCAAATCAACCAACATTTTATATCTCCTGGGAGACATACCACCTGCATAGATAAGAGATTTAGAATTGTTACAAAATTGACCAGAACAAGTAGCATACTAATTGAGTAAATTAGAAATAGCATTCAAAGACTTTTGATCTCCTATGCAAAAAATCATATTATCACCAGCATGGAGGGTATGAGAAGGAACAAAACTATTTCTAGAGGCCTTAATCAGGTTAATTTAGTTAGAGACCATAAGTTGAGAGATCCCTCTACTAAGGACCTCTTCAGCCAGACAGAAGAGCAAAGGTGAGAGAGGATCCCCTTGTCTCACTCCATTGAAACATTTGAAATAACCAACATGATTTCCATTGAAAATAATGGAAATAGTATCAGAATGCAGAATAGTGTGAATCTAGTTGCAGAAATTTTCACTAAAACCAAAACAGGCAAGGGTTTTCATGATGAACTCCTAACTAAGAGTGTCAAGGGCCTTGAAAATATCAATTTTAAGGGCCACATTACCACTGAAGCTCCTATTATTAAGAAGATTAATAGCTTCAGAAGTGAGACATGCGATATCCTTAATATTTCTATAATTAACAAAACCGTTTTTCTCAGAAGATATTAATGAAGGTACACTTTCACAATTATAATACCAACACCATTATCCTCATTCCTAAGAATAAGGAGGTTAACTCTCTGAATCATTATAGGCCTATAGCTATAGCTAACTTTAAGCACATATGAGCTTTATTTCAAATATATTAAAAAATCGTATAAAGAGTTTATTAAACTTCTGAGTCTCTTCCGATCAAGGCATATGATCCAACTTATTTTGCTTTATTACTACCGAACATCTGATTGGGAATTGATAGATGTACCATTATATCCCTTTAACAATTTTAGAAGATATTCTATAATATCTATGTTCAGAGAATGGCTTAAAAGACTTGAGATGTATATAATGGTTTCACTCTAATATTGTATCAGATTGAGACCGATTAAGGTTTCAAGGAACATCAGATCTGATGGACAAGGTCTAGCAATCCCACTTTGCTCACATTATCCCCATAGTCCACAAAAATATATTTTGGCACCATGAAACCTTAAGATGGATATACCTTTGAAGTATCTACAACTATTCAGAGTATTCAGAACCATGGTATCATCATTTCTTAATTTCCAAGGGTCTTTTGGACATTTTTCTTCCTAGAAAAGTAGAACAAACAAAAGGTTCCATGTCTTTGAAAACTCTAGAATTCCACTATAAAAGGCGGTTTACACATCAATTTTTGATATACATAATTCTAACCTAGAAACCACACACTTAGAATCGTCACTGACTTAAGTGATGAAATATTTTCATATACCACCTACCTCCCTTTGGCTAGCCAAATCATAAGTTCTCGTCAGAGGTTATCGATAGATCTTCTATTCATTTGTAATATGTGAATCATAAAATTTTGATATTGAATCATTTGATATTGTATATGCAGGGACTGATTTTGTCTAAATTTTTTTGAAGGGACCATGAATACTAATTTAAATATTATAATTGAAATTATAAACATATTATTTCAGTTTCTAAATATAAGATTCTTCTGAATTTTTTCTTTCTCTTTTTATAATAATAAAATTCAAAATTCAAAATGCATTAATAATTTTGTGGGAAATTTTAGGTACCTGACGTTTTAGTTTTGTATCAGTATTTTAGTTAAAATCAATTTTAAATTTTAATCACTTTTAAAATAAATTAATAATAAAATAACATAACATTTCATGAATAGATTATAAATAGATACCCACCAAACTCTACGGACAGTTCACCTAATTTTTTTACTATATTTCTCCAATTATGTTCCATCTTTCTGCAGAATGCATTAAATATTCTTACAATATAAGTATTACATTTTTTTCAAACTTATAAAATTATTGAAATAGTCAAAAAAAAACTTAATAACCCAATAATTTTTTTAATTCCTATGATTTAGATATGGATATAAAATAATATAAATTAATTTTTTATGTTTAACCATCATATCATTTCTTTAAAAGAACAACTTAATCACCAATAATATTCAACTTCAAAATCTTTTTTTAACTAATAATGATACCAAAATGCAGAGAAACTGTTAATCAATATTAAAAATTTGTTTTTCTATAAAGAGAAAGATGTGAAAAAAAGTTTTAAAAAGTACAAAAGTTTATAAGAAATAAAAAATAAAAATATTGATTGTTGTTCTATTCATTCAATCTAGATATAGCTCTAAAGACATTTGATTGGGAGAATATATTTGAAAATCGAAATATTTCAGTTATTCATTTTAAAAGGTGAATTATGGTTATTAGGCTATCTATTATTAATATATAAATTTTAAAG